AAATCATTGCATAAAGGTAAATTGTTTCCAAATGTGGACAATGGTCATTCTTTTTGGCACGGATTAAAAAGGAAATAGGTTCACATAAATTGAAACGGTGGAATAGTATTTTTTGTCTTGCAGAAACTACATGTACCAGCAAGTGCCTTCTGGTACATGTCACGATAACAACTAAGGGGTACTTTAGTTCAATGGTGGAATATCCCATCTTCTATATATAATAGCTAATTCCACCATTTTAGTATAAAAGTAATCCCAGTATTAGCTAATACCCCAACCAAACATGGGATAAAGTTAATCCCAAACTTTATCCCGGAATTATTGACCTTATCCCAGTTACCAAACGACCCCTAAAGGTATACATTTTGAGCAATGAAGAGTCATGATAACATAACTTTTGTCAAGCCTTTGACAATATGATAATCCATCTTCAAAACACTAGGCTCTTTAGATGTGGGCAATGCAACCATCATTATCCAACATCAGTACAATATATTCCATACTTGGCCTATGTTATGGGCACTGCTGAACACACAAAGATCCACATGGACTACTCTTTGCACTAGATATGTTGCATTTCATAAGTCTCTTAGATGTACATCAATCAGTTTCAAACATCTGGATTCTGTGGAGAGGATTGCATTTGAGTATTAAGTTCTACTAGGTCGGTTATTGTAGTATCCCATTTGTTACCATCTTCTTTTACTATCCATTCTGCTGCTCTATGATCTGATTCACCCATAAAGATTATGATGATGGTTAGATGGAAGAACCCTCTGTTTCTCTTCCTATTTAAGTTTTGAACTTTCTGTTCAGCAGTAAGAAATTAATCAAAAATTTAACTTCCTTTTGGCAATTCAATGGTGTCTTTCTAACACAGCCTCTTGACCAATTTTCTCTTGCCCAATCTGTTGGATCTTTGGGTTCAAATTTATCCAGACATCTGCAGATTTGAGAGTTGCCACTGTTGCACAAACCATACATGTGACACCGGCCATTAATGTCACAGTTATCAGCTGGTGCACCAGCAACATCATCTCAATTGATTATTCCATTCTGAAAGCTGTAGATCCTCATTTCGTTGCATCCCTACCCTTGCAATGATAGAGCTGTCTGTTAGCTCATACATGAAGTATATTTCCTCAGGATCAGATAAATATGTATAGTTATTTCCTCAGGATCAGATAAATATTTATCGCGAGATGGTGCATTAGGAAAGGCTCAACCATTCCGTGGTCCAGCCCTGTAGCGTTCAATGGAACCATTCATGATAAATATCTGTAGGGAGGATCGAATGTACAAGTAAACTCATCCCTGGAAGGGTCATTTCTGCTCTTCCATGACCAAAGGGAACGATGAAAACCAGTCTTCAGATCAATACCAACCTTCATTCCAGGTAAAGCAATGTCACCAGGATATTCAAAAACTCTGCCACAGATAATTCGCAGTTGCATCTCGAACAACAAGATTGCCTGAATCAAGAAGCTGTGCTATTCGATTTTGCACGCGTCTGGTGGCATTGGAGGACCAAATGACACGGCGGGAACCTTTTTGAAGAGTAAGAAGTCCTTGTCTTGTAAAATTTTGCATACCATCTATATCATTGAGTGGACTGTCTCTGTTAGCAACCCATACAACTATCTGTACGGGAACTTTGTCGAACTATAGTCCTAAGAGCCGTTTCCTGGATGTCGCAGGGGAGAAAAATCCCAACTTAGACTTCGCACCTGATGAAATAATGGCGTTTCCATCTGTTAAAGGTTGATCTGCAGGTATGGTATCTTGAGCACTCGACAGAATCCAAACAGAAAATATGGAAGACTAGAAGAAATGTATGCTTATGGGTTCCATGGTCCTGTTATTATCTTAGGTAAAAATAAGTTTCATTTTGAATGCAAGCCTGTGATGATTGTTTTATTAATGGAATTTTTAGAATTAAATTGAGATATGAACTTTCACTGATATTAGCAGATAGAGTTTTCAATTTGTTGTTTGCTTACAGATGGAGTCATTGGCAAGTTCAGAATTGGTGGGCTTCCATATGACTTGTGCTAACTTTGATAATCTGTTTGATGGTATTTTAGGACTCCTAAAAACTGATGATGTGGAGCAGCACTTTTGTCAAAATAGCTTTTCAGAAAAGTATTATTTTGAGTTGGGCCTATGCATTTGAGAAGTATTTTTTTTCCAAGTTTTTACACCGGTTGTACCTCTATAGGATTGGTATTCATCTTTTGTCCCTGCTTTAGACACACTTGAAACTTGCCCAAGTTTAATTTTTTTTTTCTTTATTTATTATCCAATGTTTAGTATTTTTACATTGCTAATAAAAATACTTATTAGCATATTTGTTTAATATTTTTGTCTGTTTTCTTTCTTTTGTAATATAATAAAAGATATATATATATATATATATATATTTTATTACACTTGAAATATTTTTTTAATAGATATCCTATTGTTCTCAATAGTATTATCTAAAATTTAATGAATAAAATCTCCATTTATTAAATTAATAAGACTTACATAGGCATCGAATAACTTTTTTGTTCTGTATTTTTCTTTATTATATTATCCAATATTTAGTATTATTGCATTGTTAATAGAAACTTTTTTTAGCATATTACTTTTTTTAAATTTTTGTATGCTACTTTCTTTTTATGATATAATAGAAGATATTCTTTGTATTTAATAGTTTATTCTATTATTCTCAATAATATTTTCTGTAAATAAACTTCTTATTTTTAAAAAGAAAAACAAAAAAATATTAAAAAAAACTAAGAAATGTTAAATAGGCAGTTTTGTATTTTTTGCAATTTTAGTTTTTTATTTTAAAATAATTTAAAAACTCCAACTTGAATGGATAGTTTTTTTTAATTTTCGTTTTTTATTATAAAATATTTTATTTTATTATTTTATAGATATTTAAATTCAAAAAATATTAACTAATAACTAATTATTAACAAAATAACTAATTATTAACTACTTATGCCATGTGGCTTTTTTCTAAGCTGCCACTAGGCTTAAGGATAGGGTTTTTCCTCTTCTTTTAATAATACTAATATCTGTACTCGCGCGTTATGCGAAAAATATTAAATATAATTTTATTAGAAAATATTGTTTGAAAATTACGGTAGACACAAAGGTGCAAATGGAATTATTTTATGATCATATAAAGGAACGGAATATTCATACATTCAAGTCATGAAGAAATATCTTGTTGTAAATAGGTAGTGAGGACAACATTCGTAAAAAATGCAACCTTAGATGATTGGTTATTTTTTATTGTAAGACGTTAATCTGATCAACCAATTAATCCATTAATTAGTCAACTCCCACAACATCAAGCCTATACACGAGGAGTAAATCGTAGTTATGCTGGATGGTCCCACCAACTGAGTTATCTCCCAAACAGTAGCATTTAATAGAAACAGTTGACGGAACAATCAAAATATGGTTCTCTTCCCCTCAAACAAAGAAGCATAGAGTTTAGATTTCAAAATGTTAAATTCGATGCTAACTCCAATCAAACTGCTTGACACAAATTTTAGGACGTCGTTCAGTTCAAACCTAAAAAAATAGAAATACTATGACGTAGTCCTGCTATTGCCACAATTTACGTCAAATATCATGCCATGCAACTAAACATATGAATTTTCTTATTTTGCAGCAATCAGGTTTTTCCTTTGCTTAATTCAATCAGTATAGTGCAAGGAAGAAAAGTAAGAAACGATTAACTGTTTTATATTTTTCAATTAATGGGCAAGGACATGCACCTGATTATGTTAACAGAACAAAAGGGTAGAAGTGATTATCTACCTATGTATTTTTCAATTTTCCTGCACACCATAGTGTTTTACTTGTAAAATAAATAATTTCAATATTGAACTAATCTGGTCATTTGAGTAAAAAGGAGATAATTGTTAAATAATTTAACTGAGGACAGATTAGTCTTTTAGCTAAAAGCTGTTAAATAACCAACTAATAGCTATTAGGAAGTTGTTAGTTAGTTAGTAAGTTACTTAACTACATAATTGACTCACTAGTATATATACATGTATCACAATATGTACAATACCTTTTTTGAGATAATGAAAAACTAATACTCTACTATTTCTCTCTCTATCTCTCCGCCTAATATCTCTTTCTCTCTGCCTTACCTCTGCTTTCTTCTTCTCCTTCTTTCTAATCTTCTTAGCTAATTCCTTTATGTTCTTCATTATAATTGTATGAAGAAATTTTCATGGTATCAGAGCTTACACGATTTATAGTCGTAGTTCATACAACGATCCAAATTACAGTTCAAGAAGGTTTTTAATTTTTTCCAAAAATTTTACATTTCTTTCTTGTCAGAATCTTGATAGGAAAATAACAAAAAAATAGTTGTCAATGGCGAAATAGTAGCTCAACCACCAGGAGTTCAACCTCCAAATGACCATGCAGTCGGTAATCAAGGAAATCAAGTCAATGGAATTGACTACAATCATCACTTATTCTTGTCTCCTGCAGATGTTAGTGGGATTCAAATCATCTCTTTCAGTTGACTGGAATGGAGAATTACTCAATTTGGTTCAGGTCTATGAGAGTGGCTTTGATGGGCAGGAATAAACTAGCAATGGTTGATGGCACATGCAGAAAAGAAAGATTCCCATAAATGATGTGGAATCACTGGAAAAGAGTAAATGCAATTGTTCTTTTTTGGATTATGAATTCAGTTGGAAAAGGGCTTCTTGGAGGAATTATGTATGCATCTAGTGCACAAATGGCCTGGGAAGATTTGGCTGAAAGGTTCAACAAGATAGATGGTTCAAGAACCTTCAATCTTCACAAGGAAATTGCTGCTCTATCGCAAGGAACATCATCTGTACCAGTATACTTTTCGAAATTGAAAGATCTATGGGGAAGAGTTTGAAGCATTAGTACCAGCACCTGGTTGTGATTGTCCAAAATCAAGGGAGTTTGTAGCTTACTTGCAGAAATTAAAGCCATATCAATTTTTAATGAGGCTGAATGATTCATACTCACAAGCTAGGAGTCAAATTCTGATGAGAAGTCTTGTTCCTATAGTAAATCAAGCCTATGCACTGATTGTGAGTGATGAAGGTCAAAAATCTATTGTTGCAACTTCAGGAATCTTGGGATCTTACCCTACAAGCCAAGTAGGAAACTATGAGGTTTCTATGTACTCAAAATCTAGTGCAAATCAGAATCAGAATCAGAGATTTAGAAGGAATTATAATATTTACTGTGACTACTGTAAAATGAAAGGACATAGTAAAGAAAACTGCTATAAGATTGTGGGATATCCTGCAGATTTCAAGAACAAGAGGAGAATGAATGCTGGGACAAATGCAACATATAATGTGAATTTACTGATAGAATCCAATCAGTCTAATGATCAACAATCAAACTCAATGTCTGTGTTCAATTATGGGCAAAATACAAATGTGCAAGATCAGACAAAACCAGGGACTAATGCTCAAGCTCAAGGACCTAATCCAAATATGAAGAAGTCAGGTATTGAAAACTATGTTCTTACAAAGTCTCAGTATGAACAGATTCTGCAAATGTTGAATAACACTAGTGTATCAAGCTCAACCACTGCAGCTAATGTGGGAGGTATGGATACATCCTTACTAGTGTCTGATTGCCTTAGTCAATGGATTATAGACATAGGGGCTATCAATCATATGGTAGCTGACAAAAAATTACTAGATGAAAGGACAGTAAATGAATCAAACAATCTAAAGAAAGTTTTACTTCCTAATGGAGATATTACAACTGTCACTCATACAGGAGCAAGTTCTATATTAGAAAACAGTGTTATAACTAATGTGTTTTATGTCCCTCAATTCAAGTATAACTTGCTATCGGTTTCTAAGCTAACCAAAGAGTCGCAATGCTCAGCAACATTTTTCCTTGATTTTTGTGTATTTCAGGAACTCTTCACTGGGAAGGTGAAAGGGATTGGTAAAGAGAATGGTGGATTATATCTTCTGTATACTAATACAGCTGAAAGGAACAGAATGATAGCTATGACTGCAAAGGAAAATGACACAAATAAGAGTGAACAATCAGATATAGTGCTGTGGCATAGAAGATGTGGTCATATGTTCACCCAGACTCTTAAAAAAATAATACATATAGATACTGATACTATCAGAAATAGAATAAATAAGTGCACTGTATGTCCTTGTGCCAAATAGACTAGGTTACCATTTCCTACAAGTAGTAAATAAAGTAGCAAGTGTTTTGATCTTATACATGTAGACTTGTGGGGGCCTTATAGAGTGCCTACTATGGATGGAAATAAGTACTTTCTGACTATTGTAGATGATTTTTCAAGAATGACTTGGATATTCTGCTAAAACAAAAATCTGATGCTTGTGTTTCAATTAATGTTGTATTGTGGTCTGGGCCCGGGCCAAACGGGCTTGGGCTTGAGGCGGGCCGGGTTGAGGCGGTCCCGGGCCAAACGGTCCAAATGTGTGAAACCGGCCCATGACGGTCCTAAGCCCACATGGTCTCGGGCTAAATGGGTCGGGCCCGCGGGCCTAAACGGGCCTAACGGGCTTTTTCTGTTTTGGGCTATTTTTTTTTATCTAAGGCACTTTCTTGTAAACTATATATGCATATACTTATGACTTTTACTGTTATATCATACTGAGTTTTGACATATTTGAAGAAATGCTTAATTGAAACTAAGGCTGTATTGTGGCCTGGGCCTGGCCCGGGACCAGCCCAGGACCGCGGGCCTAACGGGCCGGTTCAACCGGGCCTGATCTCTAGTGGTGTAAAAGTCTGTGGTGGGCCGGTTCANTTGGCTACTAGATTCACCAATTTTAGATTTTCCCTTACCCTTACCACCAAAAATATTTTTTAAAGAAAATGCCATATTAATTATAATTGTACTAAATAAAACTAACAAAACTATAATATTAAAACTTAAGAGTTGGAACGCGTTTACCGAATTGACGAACAACTTCTATTGAATATCGTTGAAGACTTGAATACTTCAATTCACCAACTTCACAATTTTTCACGAAATTGCAATAATAAAGCAAGCAATTATAGAAGAAAATTAGAGAGAGATTGATGATTTTGTGAGTAAAAATGAAAGAATATGAGGGTATTTATAGTTGAGAATTGGGAAAAAGTGTAATTATAAAAAGTTTGGGGTTAAAGCAAAGTTTGGGGGCCAAATGGCTATTTTTTAAAGTGGCCAACGGATAAATTTTGAAGGCCAACGGCTAGATTTTTTTTAATAAAAAATTAGCTGTTGGAGCCCGTTAGGCCCGTTGGGCCCGGTTGAATCGGCACAGGCCCGCCTGTCGGTCCCGGGCATAACGGTCCCGGGCTCACGGGCTAAATGTCTTGAACCGGCCCACCACAGACTTTTACACCACTAGAGCCCAGGCCCGGTTGAACCGGCCCGTTAGGCCCGCGGTCCTGGGCCGGTCCCGGGCCAGGCCCAGGCCACAATACAGCCTTAGTTTCAATTAAGTATTTCTTCAAATATGTCAAAACTCAGTATGATATAACAGTAAAAGTCATAAGAATATACAATGGGTCAGAATGTGTGAACTCTGTGTGTGAACAGATGTTTAAAGAGTTAGGAACCATACATCAAAGAACTTGTGTGTATACACCTCAGCAGAATGGTGTAGCTGAGAGGAAACACAAACATATATTGGAAGTTACAAGGGCTATTAGATTTCAAGCTCAAATACCTATTAAGTTTTGGGGTTACTGTGTTCGAGCTGCTGTATATCTAATAAATAGAATGCCTAGTGTTGTTATTGGCAACATATCTCTATTTGAAAGACTACATAAAAGAAAGCCATCTCTTATGCATCTTAGAATAATAAGATGCCTGTGTTTTGCAAAAACAGTACAAGAACATGACAAGTTAATGCCTAGAGCTAAGCTGGCTATTCACATGGGGTACTCAGAAGTCCAAAAATGGTATATTTTATATGATCCAACTAACAAATCTTTCTTCACAAGCAGAGATGTCATATTTAGAGAAGATGTGTATCCATTCACAAAAAAGGACAATAGTCATTCACAGGTGTTTGTAGATATAACTCCAGAATTGAGAATGATGTATGATCATCCAATACTATCTCAAAACAGAAATGCAAATACAACTACAAATGTTGGTGACAACTCAGAACCTAGTGGAACTAATATACAACAGAATACAGAAAGTGACAATACAGATATGCTTACAGACTATAGTGAAAATGATATGCAACACAACATTGAAGAAAACTGCATAGATGTAGTTCAAGCTCAAACAGATGAAGGGTTAGGTTCAGATGCTACACAAACTAATACCTTGCAAACACCATGTATTTATTGAAGCTTAGAATCAGACCTTAGCTGAAAACAAAAGAAGATCCTGTAGAGACAAACACCCTCCAGTATGGTTGAAGGACTTTGTATCTCTAAATATTCATTAGAATGTTCCTTATGCTTTAAATAAATATATCAGTTATGATCATCTCTCATCTAAATATCAGTCATATCTAGCTACAACTTCAACAATGTCTGAACCAACTAACTATTCTGAAGCTATTTTAGATCCTAGATGGATTCAAGCTATGGATGAAGAGATAAAGGCTCTTGAAAATAATCATACTTGGGAAATTGTGACTTTTCCAGAAGTAAGAAGCCTATAGGATGTAAATGGATTTACAAAATCAAATACAAAGCCATAGGAGAGATTAAAAGATTCAAAACTAGATTAGTGGCTAAAGGATATAGCCAAAAGGAAGGAATTGACTATCAAGAAATCTTTTCACCTGTAGTGAAAATGGTAACAGTAAGAAGTATTCTAGCACTAGCAGCTTCAAGGAAATGGCATATATATCAAATGGATGTATACAATGCTTTTCTACGAGGGGATCTATTTGATGAAATCTATATGGACCTACCATAGGGATTTAAAAGTCAGGGGGAGAAAACTGTGTGTAGACTTGTTAAATCCCTATATGGACTTAAACAGGCACCTAGACAATGGAATGTAAAACTATATGAAGCATTGCTGAGGTTCAAATTCAAACAAAGCCAGTATGATCACTCCCTATTCATCAGAAAAACAACTGAAGGTACTACTCTAATTCTAGTTTATGTAGATGATATGTTAATTACAGGTGACAGTCTGCACTTAATTGAAGAAACAAAGACTCTAATGCAAAATGCCTTCAAAATGAAAGATCTGGGGAGCTCAAATACTTCTTAGGGATTGAGTTTGTCAGTTCCAGTCAAGGAATTACTATGCATCAAAGGAAATATACTTTAGAGTTAATTTCAGAAGCTGGATTAGCTGCTGCCAAACCAGCAATAACTCCAATAGATGTTAACATCAAACTAACTTCTAAGCAGTATGATGATCGCATGGTAAGGCAGAGTGTTCAAGAAATGAGGACAGTACAGTTGATCAAACAACCTACCAAAGATTAATAGGAAAACTGTTATATTTGACAGTGACAAGGTCAGATATAGCATTTGGAGTTCAGACTCTTAGTCAATTTCTCCAACAGCCTAAAAGATCTCACATGGAAGCTGCATTGAGAATAGTAAGATATGTGAAAAATCAGCAAGGCCAAGAGATCCTATTATCAAGCTCTCAAAGTAACACAATCACAGCTTATTCTGATGCAGACTGGGCTGCATGTCCTCTAACTAGAAAATCAGTTACAGGTTATTTAGTCAAGGTTGGTGATTCATTGGTTTCATGGAAGTCTAAGAAGCAGACTATTGTATCCAGAAGCTCTGCAGAAGCAGAATACAGAACCCTAGCCACAACAGTAGCTGAACTAATTTGGTTATATGGTCTGCTGACTGAAGTTGATACAAAGATTCAGCTACGTATTGACACCTATAGTGACAGTAAAGTAGCAATACAAATTGCTGCAAATCCTATCTATCATGAGAGAACTAAGCACATTGAAATTGATTGCCATTTTGTGAGAGAAAGAATTCAACAAGGTCTTATCAACACTAATTACATTACAACAACAGATCAACCAGCAGATATTCTTACAAAAGGCCTAACCAAAGTTCAACATGAGTATTTGAAATCCAAACTAGGTGTGATTAATATTTTCTCACCACCTAGTTTGAGGGGGAGTGTTAAATAATGTAACTGAGGGCAGATTAGTCTTTTAGCTAAAAGTTGTTAAATAACCAACTAATAGCCATTAGGAAGTTGTTAGTTAGTTAGTAAGTTACTTAACTACATAATTGATTCACTAGTATATATACATGTATCACAATATGTACAATACACTTTTTGAGATAATGAAAAACTAATCTCTACTATTTCTCTCTCTGTCTCTCCGCTTGATATCTCTTTCTCTCTGCCTTACCTCTGCTTTCTTCTTCTCCTTCTTTCTAATCTTCTTAGCTAATTCCTTCATGTTCTTCATTATAATTGTATGAAGAAATCTTCAATGATAAATGAGCCAGAGCATCTTAGCTTACAGAAATGTGCAGAAGAAAGAAAAGATTAGAGCAGACCTTAGACCTTAGTTGTCAGGTACTATCGTAGCGTTAGTAAATAATTTTGATACTTATAGTAGATGTTTCTGCACCTCGGAGAGTAATCCTATTTCACATGAGGAATTATACAAATGATATGTTTTTGCCATTCACCTCTCCAAACAGTAAAAGCTGATCCAATAGTATCTCCCAAATAGTAGAAACAGTTAATGGACCAACCTCATCATTGTTTTCTTCCCCACCGTTAAATTCAAAATGTATAGTCAGTTGTTGAGTCTATAAGTGAGGCTGCATTTGGAAAGAATATAACTGTGAAGAACCATATAGACATAAATTGTCCCTATCATGTGGCCAAAACCACACTTGTCTCAGAAATTAAAAGAGAAAACGTTGCAAGAGTTTCTTTAAAAAGTAAAACTATACCGGAAGCCAAAAATATCACGAGCAAAGACAATATCACAATTCTAAATGACCAGAAATATATGAAACTCGAGAATTGGTAATTCAACAACAATCATACTCTATTTGATATAAGACATATCTTAAAATGCATTCCTTGGCGGATAACCTATTAAAGAGTAAATAAACATAGATTAGCTTCAGTTCTCACCCTTCAACCTGCAGCTACTTTCAGAAATTCCTCTAAATTCATAAAAGTGAGAAGGGAAAAAATATAAATTGGCTAAAGAAGTCTGAAAATCGACTTTGGGAAAATTTCATCTTAATCCTCGTAAACTATCCTAAATTTAACTGGACTTGTAACTTCTAAGATGCAGGTTGTCCCTTTTCATGGCCTTTCTCTTGCTCAGTCATAAAAGAATGAAGTCTCAGGCGAAGGAAGAAAGAATAATGAAATTGTAGAAAATTTAGCTATCACAAAGGAAGAAAAACTCCTAAATATTTTCACAAGCAACAGGTTATTTAGTGAGGATGACTAAATAACTCTATTGATGTCATGTGTGTGAGCTGGTTCAAAATGTTTGGTCAGTTATTGAGTCTATCAGTTAGGTTGCTTTTGGACAAAATATAACTGTTAAGCACCATAGAGACATAAATTGTCCCTACCATGCTGCCAACAAATAGACCGGTAAATGCAAGTGTCAGGCGAAGGAAGGAAGAATGAGGAGATTGCAGAAAATTGAGTTATCACAAAGGAATAAATTGTGCTGTTAAATATTTCCAAAAGTAACAAGTTAGACATAAAAGAAGGCAAAACAATAAGTGAGGATGACAAAAACTCTTTTCATGTCATGCGTGTGAGTCGGTTCTTTAGACCTTTGTCAGCAAAGAATGAGCCAATAATGAATGCACAACCAATTATGAAGCAGATCGATAGCAATTTTCTGAGGTATCAGCAGCATGACAGGGAGGAACATAGTGAAGGAATTCGATTGTTCGATTTTAAAGGTCAACATTATATTTAACACATGACAAAGGAACTGCATTGTATCATAAGAAAGAAGCAAAACATAGACGCAGTACACATGCATGCAAAACTACTTTCGTGTTAGATAACAACAAGCAAAACAAATAGGGTAAAATATTGAAATTAATTTGCGCATTGTAATTTTAGACAATGTCGGTTCATCGAAAGTACAAATATATTTTACAGAACCTTGTTGTGCATGCATAACTACCTGAACAGATTCCTTATTAGTGCACAATTGTGAAGCAAACATTAAGAGACAGACAGAGAAATACTTGTACAATTCATATATAAGCCTAGTTTCTGTATGTTTATCGATAATAGTCTAAGCAAGGCAACCAAATCGAATATTTGCCAGATATCTATTTCTAACATAATGGATTTTATTAACTACAAACTCAAAAATAGGTGAATTTTAAATCCTACATAATAAGGACATAACTGCCTAAAGTTTTCCTCAATACGTGACTGACAAATTAAACATTGGTAATTGATATTTTGAGAAGGGCAACGTTTTGAGGTCCTGTTATTTTCAAACCAAAGTAAAAGGTCATTTAAGCAGAATTATTAACAATATTGTAGGTGACGTACGTATGTTTATATAATATATTTGGCACCAAAAGAAAACTAACAGGATTAGGCCTAGGTAGGTTAGCCCGATCAACAGAACATGATTTTAGAACACATATTCGAGTACCTAGAATTTCACTAGAAACTTCGTTTACTCAACTATTAATCATATTCACTGCAATTCATCTTCATAGGGTACTGGTAATATCGCAGACCACGTAAATATGGTATGCAACATTCCTCTCTCTTCAAAGTTCAAAATTGCCCTTTTACAATTGTAAGATATTTCATAATGAAAATTTTATTACAATTGATTCGACTCTTTGAAGCGTGTTATTCAATATATACTTTTCTTTGTGACATGAATTGTTAATCATACTTTTTGAAACAGAAACAAAAATACTGCAGAGAAGCAAAAACGTTATAACTAAGTGAAAGTCGAATATATTACCTTTGAATTCTGTAAAATCAATTCTAACGAATATGGTATTTCAGGCTTAAATCGATCCGGGATTGTCCACATTCGAACGACTCTAACTTTGATATTCTATTGCATCGACTTACTTGAAATTGTCTGATATCATGAACTTGTGTAGCCATATTTGCAAAACAGTTATAATGAGACAGCTATACTGAGCGGATAAAATACGGAGTTGAAAAGAATTTGAAAATATAAAGCGCATAAATCCACCGGTTATGAAGGTGTAGATAAAATAAGGATTATTGGTTGGAAGCCCATATTTGGAAGCACGATCAGTCGTGGGTTCCTCGGATGGTTTTCTTTTTTTCATTTTTTTATTTATAAAAATAGTTGCAAATTTGAGTGTGTAGTTGTTTATTAGAAAACTAGTGAGGGTGTGCCGGGGCATAGCCCGGGCCCAACAACTATTTAATATTATTAATAATACTATTATTTTTATATATCACTCACTTTTGTATTTAAATCCGCTATGTTGATTATGCTGATGGTGATAAATTTACGCCATCTAAGGCTATTTGTTGCAGGTTGCGCATCCTTCTTGGTAAATTAGGCATATATCTCTACAATATTTTTATGTAACGCAATTGATGTACCAAATTATAAATGACTCGACTATAGCGAGAGAGGTAATTTTTCTACTAAAGTTATCCGGCCAAGAAACTGAATTGTGGAGTTCTGCAATAGTCTTAGAATACATAATCTTTTGCAATTAAGAGAGGTGTAATATAAGTTCGATTCGTCTAGCTTGTGTAGATAGATTTAAAAAAGGTTACATGAAGATCGAAGAATGAAACTTAGTATACATACTGCAAGTGTAATAAATTGAGAAAATAAGATATTCCGCTTTTGTAAATCACAAATACATTATTTTCTCTAGCTGGTTTGCCAATGGAAGCACTACTTTAATGCAAGTGATAAAAGAAAACAATGCAAGCACTTAGGTAAATTTGTACTAAAGGTATCAATATTATCAAATATATCAAAAGGATATAGTTAGACAAAAGATTCTTTTGAATATTTCTTGTGATTTTTATGAAACATATTATTTTCACGCTACCAAAGTACATGCAAATAACCAAACAAACTATAATTAGCCTAATCCTTTTGATAACTAATGCTACAATGAAGCTTTTTTCCGACTATATCACTCTTTGTGCACTTAAAGTAACACTCACATATTAGCATATGTAAATTATCATATGAGCAGCAGAATGATTAACTAAAAGTCTATATAGAATGAGCACATTTGGGAAAGATTTTATATGGAGATGAGGAACCATAAGTAGCTATGAGCCATAGGTAACATAAATACAAAAGTTACTTGCTTTACATTCAACAACAATACGTAAGCCCAAATACTCTAATTGTAAGCCCGTGCTAATACAGGTTCAACATTTGGAAGCTCTTTAGTTCAATTCTTTGTTAGCTTTATTTATATCGTATTTATTTTAATTAAGTTGGAGTTTGTTTTTCCCACATTTACCCATAAATAAAAAGAGGATAGTTCTTGTGTTATATTTGGGAAAAACCCCCCTATTTACAAAATCATTACGAAGAGCTTCTAAAGCTATCTGATTAAAATGTGGTTGGGTTTGGGGGGGGGGGGGGGAGGAGGAGGTTTATTAACTAATAGTAACCTTGCAGACTTATCTAATTAACAAAATCAACCCCAAGCATAGTTATCAAAATGAGCCTAGGCAATGGATTAAGAAATGCAATTAGCAAATTAAAGGACAACTAAAATAGTAGACATATAATAGTGATAAAATTTTTTATATACATCAAAACTTTTAGCGGAAAATGACATTATCATATGCTTGTTGAGCAAGTGTTATCTCATTTAGCAATTATAAGAATGAGCATGTATCAGTCTAATATTTGAAATTTTAAAATGTACATTAAAATCATGATCTCGACAATTCTTCATTTTAATAAATAAGTTTTCATTTTTAAAAGTTTTATGCCTGATTTATTTTATATTCGGCTAGGAAAAGTATATATTTGATTTTGATATTTTTGAAATAATTAGACAGTTACACCTATATATTTTTGTCTCGTGTCCTTGCAACGTTCAATTAATCTAATAGTAATTTTTTACCAACAGCATATAATTCTCTTTTTATCCAATCTAAAATCACAAATGCAATATTACTTTTTCAAGACTATTATCAGTATACTGAAAATCACCCCAAGTTCCCAAAAAATTAGGTGTCATTAAAAATAAGTATTATGATAAAAGTTGCAATCAAACTAAGTTTACAATGAAGGTGCATACTTCTTGAATATGGAAATTCGATCATGCTTATTTTAATTGTGTGATTTTTGATAATTACTCCCTCCAGTCCGTAATAAGTAATTTTTTGGCTTTTTTCTTGTGGTCCAAAATAAGTAATTTTTCTAGATTTCAAGAATGAATTAATTTTTTTTCCTATATTGCCCTTGGAGTAAATAACATTGGAGTATGTGTTAGGAGTGTTTATGTGAAGAGATAATAAAGGTTAATATGGTCAATTTTATTGTTAATTAATGTTAAAAGGTAATTTCTTAATATGTGTGAAAACAATTAAAAAATTATTTATTTTGGACTGGAGGGAGTAGTTTTATCATTTTTTTTTTGTTAGAATTGTAATGGATGGGGGTTTCTGCAATACATTTTAACATCTAGAATAATTCTAGTAAGTGTTTGGCTTTTCTTATCATGTTTATCATAAGGAAAAGCTAATATCTTTTCGTGCTTTAACGTAATTTTAGATAATGATATCTAAAATTTAAATCCTAAATACTTGACTACCAAAATAGTCATAAGAGTTTTAGTGGTACGTCTTCTTTTATGTTGTTCCTCTGTTATTTTAAAAACTAATTCGATTATTTATATTGTTATGCACTTCAGTTGTAAGTGAATTATGCAGTATATGACGTACAAAACTATTTAAAGTAATATTTTAAGGGATCAATTTTATAAATAGAGATGGGTACTCTGCCTAGATAATCATGTAAAAGTCACTATTGTTTTGATGATATTTTCATGTTCTTGGTCTTTCGCTTTGAATTTAAGTTAATCATTAAAAATCGGTTTAACATTAAAGTCTTCCTGAAAAATTAAATTTACCACTTGTTCTTCAAATTGAATTTAATTTACCAATACAAACGGTAGTTTTAGAATACTTTTAAAATGGAGTAGACTCCAAAGCTCTTAACTGAATTTTAAAAGACTTAAAATGCTCTCTAAATTACATTTCAAGCATAGTATAAGAATTATTATTTTTCACAAGTTTAAAATTATGGAGCACATATTAGACGATATATACAGTAGAAAATGGGCTATAATTTTGCTTGCTCACAGGATACGATGGGACCTAGGACTGTTCAAAACTGATCCGAAACCGAAAACCGATCCGAACCGAAGCTTAATGGCTTACTAGTAACGGCTTAACGGACGGGGAACGGATTAAATTTTTTTTATTAATGGCTTATCGGTTTGAGGACGGATTATTCAATTTTCTTAACGGATAATCCGTTAACCCGTTAAGAATATAAATATATATATATATATTTATATAAAACAAACCCATATTAGATATATAAAAAAAAGTTGAACTTGAATAATAAAAAAACAAACCCATGTGGGCTGTGGCCATGTATACTAAATTACTAACCCATGTATTCTAACTTCTAAGACTAAAACAGTAAAACTATTAAACTAACGCACTCCTCCTAATTCCTATTCTAATCCAAAGAAACCAGCAGTCCAGGCGTCCAGCAGTCTCATTCTCATTTCTCAACCCTAACGCCTAAGTCCTAAAGACAGTCGACAAAAATCAAAATCACAGAAACCCAACCCTAACGCCTAAACCAGCAGCCACCGCCCACCAGTCGTTGTCGACTTCCACCACTACCAGGCACCAGTCTCATTCTCTCCGTCTCGCGGCTTCTTATCTTCTTATCCAGGTACTCTTACTTATGATTCCCATCAAAATCAACATTATCAGGAGTTTGCTAGTTATTTTTTTCTTTTCAATTTTTTTGTTGTTGAAATGTTGTCTCTCTGTCTCTGGCCCCCGCTCTGGCTCCAGTTGTTGTGGATGAGAAGGCAAAGGGTGTGGTGAAGAAGGAGAAGAAGAAGGAAGGGTTTAAGACGATTATTGCACACAGTTATTCTTTTATAATTACAAATACTTTTTGTTGTCTCTGGTAGGTGGAAGAAGTCCAGCAGATGCTTTTAGTAAACTTGAAGGTAACCATCTATGACAGCTGAATCAAAATTTTGCATTTTATGACAAATTATGCCCCAGTTACTAGAACATTCTGTTTATATATCTAAGGGAAGTGATGTAAAATACTATAATTAGAGTATTCGTTTGTCCAAAAAAAATGTATTCTTGTGAATGCTTGAAGTCTTTAATTGCAAATAGATCCATAACATGGTATTTGTAAGAAAGGCTTGATTTCTCATGTAGATTATGTGTGCTCACTGCTCGGTGTAACAACAAGGAATTTGTCATTGGTAAATGGTAATATTACACTTACAGCCTCTGAAATGTTTTTTTTTATGGCAATTCATTATTTCTAAGACGAGGAGAATGGGAGATATTTAGTGAATATGTATGTTAGCCGTTAGGCCGATAAACCGCCCGATAAGAGCTAAACCGATACCAATCCGTCCGATATCTTATCGGGTGGCTAACGGATTAATACATTTAAAAGCCGAAAACCGTTAAGCCAAACCGTTAAGAGTAAAAAGCCGCTCAATCCGCCCGATAAGCCGCCCTAATGGGACCTAATAGGAAATCTTAGAAATTTTATCTTCATCCCTTTGGACCAAAAGGTGAAAATTCTTATAACTTGTATCATCTTACGTGGCTTAATGAAGAATAAATGACTAAGCAGCTTTATATGCAGTCAAAGTAGAGCTGATTTTTCGGCTTTTGCAAAACAGCTCAACCGTACCCTTTATTTACTTATTCTGTATGATGGCAATTGTAGTAATAATGAGCTAATTCATGGGCAAACAATAATCCTTCAAGCTGATTGGACGACCCCAAACTCCCCAACTGCCTCTTATTAACAGTAGGAAAATAGCCAAGAAATAGCGAGAGGTGTTATAAAATAAAGACGGTAAAGTAAAGACAAATATAGAGAGAAATTGATATATTATTCGAATTCAAACTAATGTACATAATGAACTGAAATCTCTTCTATTTATAGAAGAAAGGAAGCTGCTGTGTAAGTTGCTACTACAAGCTGCTGTGTAAGCTGCTATTACAAGCTGCTGTGTAAGCTGCTATTCCAAGCTGCTGTGTAAGCTGCTA